ACAAGGCAAAAATGAGTTTTTGTTGATGGAGATGAGCAATTTGAGTAGCATCATGATATTTGTAGAAAAGAGAAAGAAATGCAACCTTACAACAATAGAAATTTACAATCTGTTTTTGAACCTTGTCTAGAAGAAAAAGATCATCATTAGAAGACACAGCCTAAATATGACAACAGTGTTCCATACAGGGATGAATAAGAAATTAGGTAGAGAATGAAATTAGGAGTAAGAAAAATTGCAAGCATGCTAAAGAAAAGCAACTTTATAGCAGATGCTAACAATAGATTGTATATATTTTTTCCATGAGAGGTTGGTAGTAAATGATAGTCCGAGAAGACGAAGAGAAGAGGACTCAGTGAGAGGGTAGCCATTCATTAATATAAGAATGTCGACAATATTGCGATAATTGTTTGCAGTATATAACAGAGTTTTGTTAGTATTATAATTCACAAAATGCACAAAAGAATCTTAGCAAGTCAGCTATAGAACAAGAAAATCAAAAACCATATTGATTGTCAGAGAATAAGTTAATAGACTATAAGATGGGATGTTAGAAATTTGTTGATTGAAGACCCAAAGGCTTTGCTAATAATAGAGAGAAGACTGATCGAATTATATTTGGAGGGGTCAAAATGTTTTCCAGAATTTTAAAAAATTGGAACCACAGATGCCAATATCTGGGAGTAGAGTTTCTACCTCTAGCTAGGTTAAATTTGGAAGATCAGATTGGGCAGGGCATAGCGAGCGGTGAGCGAGGCTCTGCTGGGGGTTTTAGGGGTTGGTCATTATATTTTATTTACATTATATGCAATACAGCAATGTACTTGATTGAATAAAGTTATTACAATGATTACAATAGGGTTTCAGTACTGTCATGAAAACATGAAAACTACTTGCATTTAAAAGTATATTTCTGATCAGATCTTGCAGCAGCCAACAATTTGGATTTCTTCATTAAGAAGTCACACTCATTCGTGTTGGTTTCTATCAACGCTGTTTGGACATTACGCAGAATACAGTAGTCTTTATAGTATTTATTTTGATATACATCAATGCAAAACTTGACTGCTAGTTAGTCTAATAAGTCCCAGACCACTGGTTCATTCAAAGTTAAGACACTCATGCTTTGAAATTCTGGATTCTGGAAGTTGCCATTTATCTAATTAATTTAAGCATTTGCTGTAGAATTCATCAACGCCTCTTTCAAACTTTTGTTTTTTCACTTGTTGTATTCTTTTCAGGAATTGAGCAGCAGCATGTCCATAAAATTTGTCTTGTTTGCGATCTGCAATTTTCTTTCTTACAAACATAATTTCATGTAATTCGAAACTAATAATTTGATCTAACTCTAAAGTTAGTACACCACTTTGAAAGACCTGCATAACATTATGTAAGAAACAGCAATACAATTTAGGAATGAACTTAATTTTGTTATCTTGAAATGCATCCCTCATTACTTTTTTACTGGCATTCCTCTTCTTCCTTTGATACAAAGGATGACTGCAACGCAGACCATACCAGAAGTATTCTTTCTGGTGCTGGAAGTAAGGATAACCACCTTGTTGGTATGTGACGAAGAACTTTTCTTGGTACTCCAGTTCAACAAACTCAAAAAATGACTTGAGCTATGCAATTTGTTTTGCATATCCAGAAAATTCAGCATAAACTTAATAAAATGAGAATTTCAACATCTGTTGACAAAGCATTGCAAGCCAAAATGAAAATGCCATATTCTGCATAATTGTGTTAAACATAACACAATTATGCAGAATATGGCATTTGCAATTTGCAGAAATGATGGCTGAAATTCTTCTTTTCAGTTTCTGATACACAGAAACATTCTTGCCAAAATTCGCTGAAGCATTATCTGCAGAAAAGACAGAAATGTGGTTTATGTCCATTTCTTCATGTCCATATAAACATTTCTCTCTATCACATCAACCAAGTGCGTTGTTATTGCCTCACTGCTTTCGCTTGAATTTTCATAAAAGTCGAGTGCCATGTTTTATTCCTTATTTTGAAAAATAGCAGACTTTTACTGGAAACAGTTTAACAATTCTTCTGTTTGAAGAATCAGTTGCTATTGAAAAGTACTTTGACTCATGCAATTCAGGGATCAACTGTTCTTGTGAAGCAGGAGCTAGGACATTTTTATTTATGCTAGTTGCTTTCGTCCGGCCGCAAGCAAGCTTTTTAGCAGTATTAGAGTCTGGGAAAATATTGCGCATTAGCTTGTTACCACAGTCTTCACTTCTATTACTATTAAAACATCGCAGGTTAATGCAAGTTAATTAAATAAAATATATAATAATAATAACCAACATTTACATAGCAAAAACACAAAATAATATTATTAAAATGAATAAAACAAACAAATTGAGAAAAAATAAATAGAAATACAATAAAAACAATAAACATTTTGCCAATAAACAAAACAAAAAAAAAACAACATAAAAACAGTAAAAGAAAATGCTACATTACTTAACATCAAAAAAGTAAT